GAAAGCGGTTTTCTGGGGTTTTGTTTAGCTTCTATATTTGTTACAATGTTTCAAACTGCAGGCTCAGAGGCCGGCAAGGCAGGCGGGGAACCTTGGAGTCCTCTATCACTGAAGCAAGCAAGCCTCATGTTAGCTTCAAGCTTCTGCCTGCCGGCCACCATCTTGGCTGGCAGTTAATTTGCATATCACCCTGATTAGCCAATGGGAAGGGTAGTGGAGGTACAGCTAATACCATATTTCTCTTTTATTAGATAGGATATCAAATACTCTTGCTGATTAAATAACCTATTGTGTGTCATAAGTGTCACTTCTTAATATAATCAGTTTTTAAATTGGGCTTTGGAATGTAAATCAGCAAATCAGCATTTCATTCCAAAATTTTCTAGGTATTTTCCACTTTTGATCTGGGGAGCAACTTTAGGCAGTGTTTATAATAAAACAAAATTCTGTGTTGTGCCATTATTTAGACCTGCTGTATTTTATACAAATTAACCCCTCCTTTAAGGTCTTTCATCTGGTTGCACTAGGCTCACTATCAAGCTTTAACTTCTTGACCTACCCTCTGTTCCACGTCAGATCAAATAACTCTATTTTTATTGAAAAGGCATCTGTGTGCTGCTATGTCTACTTTTGCTTCTGTGGGTCTTCCCTCCTGCAGGATACCTTCATTTATTCAAATTCACACCCTATTAAGTCTTTAATTTTCAATCAAGATGCTGAGGAAGACTTCATGTTATATAAAATCTTTCATCTTTCAGCACTCTGTTCTTCTATGCTAGACTTGTAAATTTTAACTTAATACTTCTTAAAATTTATATTTACTATTGAAAGTATTACATATTTTTTCCTTCTTCCCCTCCTATATACCACCTCTTCCCCATACTTATCCCCCAGCAGGCCTTCAGTATGCTATTGTCAGTGTCCATGTTTTGTGCATATATGCATACAAGTTTTTTTGTTCATATCTTCCCTCGCACCATTCATTTACTACTATAGCTAAAGTTTTCAATGCTTATATATGTTATATTGATGTCAGCATTATATAGATATTATCCTTGTTATATTCCTAGCTATAGATGTTTGTCATGCTTTGAAGTAGTCATCATGAAAGTAATATTTGTCATTTTAAACTGCTTTTTATTTTTAACAACAGTAGAAATATTCAGTAGCTTCCCATAAATATTTCTTGAATACATCCCAGTTATGTTAACTATGAAATATTTTATATAGTTCATGACCAACAAATATATGTAGAATAAATATTTGCTAACACCGTTCACTTAATACAATAGCACACCAGGTGCTGCACTAAGTTATTTTTATAGGTTGTTTTATTTCATCCAATTCATTAAAAAGAAAACCCTGTGATGACAAAATCCTTTTATATATGAAAGAATCATAGTCACAAGAAATGTCTTTATAATTGTTAAAGTTAATATGTATATTTATGCCCATCTTCAAACTTACTTGTTTGCATGGTGAGTAAGTTACCTGAAATAAAATGAAGGACTGTTAGACTTAGTGTCTGAATGAATTTCTGTATGGGTAAACCCCTAAATGTCTTGCTCCGATGTACTTTTAGGGTGACCCTAAGAATGACTCATGGATCTTTGCCCTGGCCGTGCTTCTGTGTAGCAGCTTTGTCTACAACAGCCTGAGCACCATCAACCACCAAGCTCTGGAGCAGCTGCAGTATCCTTCCAGGCACCCAACTCCCATGTGTCATGGCTTCAATGGGAATGGAGATCCAGTCAGTTTCTCCTTCCCTCTCACTTAGTTGCGTTTGGTAGACCAAATGGAACCAGAATAAAAGAGAGTGTTTATAATATTTTTTTAATCAGAGAAATGTGGGAATTATGAGTAGAAACTTTATTTTCCTTAGCCAGGTACTAGTTATGTGGCAGAGCTGACAGAACTCATCAGGGCAAAGTCCTCCCCTACACCAGATGGAGTAGAAGATTCATCAGAGTTTGTGAGTTTCTTTCCAGACTTTATCTGGGTCGTACGGGATTTCATCCTGGAGCTGGAGTTAAATGGTCACCCTATCACAGAAGATGAGTACCTGGAGAATGCCTTGAAGCTGGTTCCAGGTAACAGCATGGCTGGGCAGTGGATGGGAGGTAGTAAACATTATGATTGGAGTTGCATTTGTACTTGAGACTAGAAGTCTGCAGAAATGGTGGCTGGGAATGAGTTGAAAAGCTTTATTGACTGGAGTTTAAGTTCAGTTAAGAAAAGAAGAGCCTAAAGTAGAGTAAAACTATTCATAACCCATTTGTTCTTTACACTTGTAATTTAGAATCCAATTGTAACGTTGAATACAGTGGTGTTAAAACCTTCTAAAGACCAGACACTTATATTTATTACTTTTAGTTTCTGCTTTTCCGTGATGAGGAAATCAGCTGATCAGATGCTTGGTGGGCATAAAATTACAATGAAAATCCTATCTAATGAAAAAAATATCTTTCATGTAACTAGACATAATTCATCTAAAATGGGCATATAACTTTTTAATGTCTTTATACATATGTAATCTATAAAAATAACTTTTTAATGTCTTTATACATATGTAATCTATAAAAATGACTTTATGTTCTAATAAGCCTGAAGAAGTATATTTTATCTTTTCAATCTATCCATTTGTGTAATTTTTGATAATTATCAGAATATAATTGTAATTTATACATCATAGATTTTTTTATTTTAAAAATAATTTATTTTTCAATTGTAGTTTATACTCAATATCATTTTGTATTATTTTCAAATATATAGCATAGTGGTTAGATAACACATACTTTACAACTAGATCCCTACTATACTTCAAGTAGTCACCTGACACCATGCATAGTTATTACAATATTATGAACTACTAGACACCCAGTGCACAAAATTCGTGCACTGAGAGGGGGTGTGTCCCTCAGCCCAGCCTGCACACTCTCCAATCTGGGACCCCTCGGGGGATGTCTGACTGTCGGTTTAGGCCTGATCCCTGTTGGCCCAATCCCACTTGCCTGCCTGTCTGATTGCCCCTAACTACTTCTGCCTGCCCGATTACCCACTAACCATACCACTGCTATGCTGATCGATGCCTAACTGCTCCCCTGCCAGCCCAATCTCCACCAACTGCCCTCCCCTGCCAGCCCAGTTGTCCCCAACTGCCCTCCCCTGCTGGCCTGGTCACCCCTAACTGCCTTCCCCTGCTGGCCTGGTCACCCCAAACTTTCCTCCCTCCTTTGCAGGCATGGTTGACCCCAACTGCCCTCCCCTGCCGGCCATCTTGTGGTGACCATCTTTTGACCACATGGAGCAGCGATCTTTGACCACATGGGGGCAGCCATCATGTGCAAGGGTGTGATGGTCAATTTGCATATTACTTCTTTATTATATAGGATATTCCGTATGCTGTATTTTACATCCCCATGACTATTTTGTAACTACCAACTTGTATTGGTTAATTCCTTCACCTTTTTCACGCAGCGGTCCCCCTCCCCTCCTCCTGTGCTCTTCTCTTCATGCAGCCATCAGATTTTTCCCTGTATCTATTAATCTATTTCAAGTTTGTTTGTTTATTTGGTTCTTTAGAATCACATATAAGTGAAATCATTAGATATGTGTCTTTCTCTGTTGAACTTATTTCAGTGAGCATAGTTTATTTGAGATCAGGGGTGGGCAAACTTTTTGACTCAAGGGCCACAATGTGTTCTTAAATGGGACCAGAGGGCCAGAACAAAAGCATGGATGGAGTGTTAGTGTGAACTAATATAAATTCAAAGTAAACATCATTACATAAAAGGATACGGTCTTTTTTTTTTAAATTTTATTCATTTCAAACGGGCCGGATCCGGCCCGCAGGCCATAGTTTGCCCACGGCTGCTCTAGATTCATCCATACTGTCTCAAAAGATACAATTTCACTCTTTTTTATGATCAAATAGTATTCCATTGTGTATATATACTACCTATTCTTTATCTACTGTCTGTTTTGGGGTACTTAGGTTACTTCCATATCTTGGCAATTGTAAATAATGCTGCAATGAATATAGGAGTCATATATTCTTTTGAATTAGTGTTTTGGATTTCTTCGGATATATAACCAGAGTGAAGTCACTGGGCCATAAGGTAGTTCTATTTTTACTTCTTTTGAGAAACCTCCATTCTTTTTTCCATAGTAACTGTACAAATATGCATACCCACCAACAGTGCCGACACTTATTCTTTGTTGATTTATTTGATGAGAGCCACTCAGACAGGCATGAGGTGATATCTCATTGTGGTTTTAACTTGCATTTCTCTGATGATTAGCAATGTTGAACATCTTTTCATACCTGTATTGGCCACCTGTATGTCCTCTTTGGAGAAGTATTTATTCAGCTCACTTTTAAATCAGATTGTTTGTTCCTATGATGAATAGTATGAGTACTTTATAAATTTTGGATATTAACCCCTTATCAGATATGTCATTGGAGAATATATTCTCCCATTTGGGTGGTTGTTTGTTGATGGCTTCCTTTGCTGTGCAAAAACTATTTAGCTTGCTGTAGTCCCATTTGTTTATTTATTTTGTTTCCCTTACCAGAGGAGAGATATGAAAAGAAATACATTGCTAAGAAAAATATCTGAGGTTTTACTTCCTTTGTTTTCTTATAGTAATTTTGAGACTTACATTTAAGCCTTTAATCCATTTTGAGGTTATTCTTGTATATGGTGTAAGAAGGTCATGTAG